GGGCGAAAAATGAAATGAAGTGGGGCAAGAGCAGAAATGTAAGGAGACCAGTTTCGGAGGCTGTCGCAGCGTCCAGGTGAGAGCTAATGGTGGTCTGGAATGGGGCAGTGGGCAGGGAGAGAGATGACAGATGCAAGGCAGTTCCAGGAGAACTACCAGGACTTGCTGAGGATTGGCTGTGGGATGAGCGGGTGAGGGAGAGGGAGGTGTCCAAGGATAACTTCCAGCTTTCCAGCTTGAACAAGTGGGTGGATGGTGTTGGCAGAGATGAGCTGGGGATATTGGAGGCAGAGCAGGTGCTGGCAAGCGGAGCTGGGGACCCGGGTTTGGACGTGAGGCTGACCGTGAGACATCTAAATGCAGCCCAGAGGCAGTTATACCTGCAGGTCTTAAGCCCAGAAGAGATAACTAAAGTCAAGAGAGGAAAAGAGGCTTACCTGATAGTGGCAGAGGAGTATGCAATAGAGTAAGAAAAAGGGGCGGGGGCAGCTCTGAGGAACCATGGTGGCAGCAGGGCCTGGGGACAGAGTGACCAGGAGCTCTGAGCTTGGAAAATCAGAGCCATGAAATCCAAAGGGTACTTCCCGTAGCCCTGGGAGGCACCTGGCTTTGGTTCCACCTTTCCGGCCAAGCATGACACCTTGGCACAGGCACTTCCCAGCTGAGACAGCCCTCCCTTCCCCACAACACCCTCCTCCTTGGCAAACTCCAAGTTATCCTTCTGACCCAGCTCAGGGCCCTCCTGCCTTCCCCCACACCTCCTGTAGTTGAAGACTTCTCTGGTCCAGGCATGTGTTCTCCAGTCTGACAACCTAGGTTTGAATCCCAGCTCTGCCACTTGATGTCTGTGTGCCTTTGGTGAAGAAACTAAACCTCACTTTCCTCATCTACACAAAGGAAATAATAATAGTACCTACCTCATAGGGCTGTTTGAAGACAAGTATGCAAAGTGCTTAGCAGAGAACCGAGCACACAGTAAGCACTAAATAAATGTTACTATTATTAACATCCCACCCACCTTGGGACAGTTAGTCACATCCTCCACTTTATACCTCCTCCACTTGGGAACTATTTGCAGGTCTGTGTCCCTCACTGCCTCTTCTACCCCCACCCAATTTGTGGGGCTATATAATATGCAGGGCCCAGTGCTAAATGAACATGTGGGACCCCTTGTTCAAAACTATTAAGAATTTCAAGATGGTGATGGCAGAGCATTAAACGCAGCATGAGGTCCTTCTAAGCACAGGGCCCTGTGCAAACACAGACTCATGAAGCCAGCCCTGCCCCCACCCCCAGCCAGCCCAGGGCCTGGCCAGAGTAGGTGTCAGCCCCCTTGCAATAGAGTAAAAAAGCTAACTGACATTGAGATAGGGTTTTGTCACTTCCATTTGGAATTTCATGTTATCTTTCTAATAGAAAGATAAAACATCAACCCATTTTATAGTCGAGGACATTGAGATTCAGAGATGGGGTGTGCTTTGCCAGAAGTCACCTACCTCATGAATTGCAGACCTGGGATGTGAACATTGGCCAGTTGATGCCAAAGGCCTGCCGCATGTCCTCTGGCTCTGCAGGGACAACCTGACCCCAAGGGATGAACTTCGTCAACAAGGCCCAGAGAGAGGGAACTGGAGGGACTGGGACTGGGACTGGCCCCCTTCCTCCTGGGATGAGCCACATAAACAACCAGCTCCCAGGGTATCAGGCCTCTGCACAGGGGAGTGGGTAGGACAGGGAAAAAAGTCACTCCTGAGAAGGTTCTGCCCGAGGGCCACAGACCCCAGCCCACAGACCCTGCCTCCTCAGCTTAAAACCCCTTAGGGGCTGTCCTTGGCCTCAGGATAATCCCCAAATCTTTAGGATCCTGCTAGACCAGGGAGTGCTGGCCTGGCTATGCTGACGCCTGCCCACTCTCTACCCTCTCTCCACTACTGCTGTCCTCCCCCCGCCACCCCAGGCCTGTTCTCACCATCATCAAAGCTTTATTTTAGCACAAACTGTTCCCTCTCCTCATCCCTTCTTCTTTGCCTCCTCAACTCCTTGTCACCCTAGGCTTCCTGACTCCCTCCTTTCAACATACGTCACCTGCTCTGGGCTGTCTCCTGGCTAGAATGGAGGCTGCCAGAGGCAGGGGCTGCCTGGCTCCCAGAGCTTGTGTGTGTGAGCACATCGAGTGTCTGAATGCATCCCCCTCAGCAGAGGCAGGGGGGCCCTGCACTCTTCCCCCCTTTTCTCTATTCCTCCCCAACCCTCCTTTTCTTGTCCAAGCATTTTGAACACAATGTATGAGGAGCCCAAACTTACAGAGGGAAGAGAGTCATCACCATACAGTACGCGCGCTCCACCTGCCAGCCCTGGGCTGGGTGCTGTACATCCAGCCAGTACATTTAATCCCCCAAGCACCTTCCCAATGGCAGTGGGGCAGCATGGGTATAAACTCTTCCTGTTTTCCAGAGGAGTCTGAGGCCACCTGCCTGAATTGGTAACAGAGCCTGGAAGTGGAGTATACGGCACTTGAACCCATGTCTGTTTGCTGCCCAAGTACCTGGTGTCCTTTCTGCCCCTGTGACTCACTGTTCCCAGCCAGCTCACCTCCAACCAGAGAGCAATTGTTTCTCACCCGTGCTCTCAGTTCACAAACACCCCAGACAGCACAGCTCCTCCCTGGGGTCAGCAAAACACCAGTGTAGAGGCCACTGTAGAAGTCACTCCTCCTCTGGGTCGACAAAATGCCAGCATGGGAGAAATACCTGCCAGTTGAGCCAAACACTAATGGGGGAGATACCCCCATTGTCAGCAAAGTGCCGGTATAGGAGGCATACCTTGCACCCCAAGTCGGCCAAAGGCCAGTGTGACAGACACTTCCCTATATCTCCCCCTCTGCCAGGGCCCATGACATGGGCTGGGAGTGCACAGACAGCGTCCTCCAAGGTGGTGCTTCAGGGGTCGGGGGAGGCAATGTAGCTGGGGCTCTGCTGCTGCCTAGGGGAGAAGGCTGCGGCTGGGGAGTAGGGCAGACTTGGGTGAGAGTTCTCACATGGCACTAATGAAATCAACCACCAGCCTGCCCCCTCCCTCCCCAGGGACCCTCCTGGCTCCAGCTGATGCAATGCCCAGGCAGGATAATTGTTTTCTTCCCTCCTTAAAGGGCCAGCTGCTGTTGCAGCTGCAGACATCACCCAGACCCCTGACAGACCCCACAGAGCTTAGCACCTAGTTAGAGACTGGGGGAGCTCAGAAAGGAATAGCTCAGCCCTGGGTTCTACAGAGGAAAATCCAATTAATGTCCAGAGACCAGAAGTGTCTGTGAGCAAGAAGGGAGGGAAAGATAATAAGACAGAGACACTGCCTGGCCCACGAGACCACATGCCCAGAGGGAGGGACCTTGGTCCCTGCTGGGTCCTCAGCACCTGACTCCTGCCTGCCTGTCCTGTCAAGTCCTTGGCACAGGAGTTGCTTGTGAGTTCAGCAGTTATCTTATTGAGCTTCCCTGAGTGCCACGCACTGTGCTCAGTAGCTCAAATCCACCATTTTATTTACTCCCCCCAGCAGACCAAAAAGGTGGTTCTGTTTTACGGAAGGAGGCTTCAGAGAGGGGAAGTGACTTCTTGAATAGCAACAGCCAGAAAGTGGCACAGCCTGGGTTTGAAGCCAAGTTTGCCCAACTCTGGGCTTCATATCCTGCACAGAATCAGGTAGGTGTCAAACCCTAGGGCTAGAGATCCCTAAGACAGACAGCCTGGCACAGAGGGGGGGGAAAGGGTCTGTGCGTCCTAAACAGGCTGTGAAGGGCATGGTGCTTGGTGTAAGCACAGTTTTCACAAGCCCCTTCCCCAAACCCCCCCCCAAGAGAATGCCCCATTAGGTTGCCCACATGCCCCCAGTTGGCAGCTGCCTGATTACAGACTAATTGGTGGCTAGCAGCAACTGTGGGGCTAGCTAGTTAACCCCTTGGTGACCAGGACTAGCCCAGAGGGGCCCTCTCCGCACAACTTCAGGCCCCAAACCCAAGGACCCTAAACTTAAGAAGCCATCAAGGGCAGAGGACAGGACCAAAGAGGCAGCAGCCTTCCTCTCCACACCCAGACAACACCCCTGGAGCTGGGGTTGGACACTGACGTTCATCCAGGCGCCCCAGTTCCGTAGGGCCACATCCAAACTGCCCCCAGGTGGTAGTGCCAGCCAGCACCCCTGTTCTCTGGCCTTGGGTATGGCATTGCTCAGCCCATCTAGGACCACAGGAGTTATGGGCCCTCCCTGGGTTTCCAAGCTTAGGATACTGGGAAGAAACCCACTCCTCAAGGACGAGCTGTCCAGAGAAGGTGGTGCAGGCATGGGTCCAGGCAGCCTGAAGCCCAGCCAGTGAAGATACGCTCCCCTAAATGAGAGGGTGCCCAAGTTGCTAACCAAGGGTCTTGCCAAACCTCCCTGAACCCTGGACTCTCCACAGTGGATTGACCAGCTGCCTTTCCCAGCTTCCCAGAAGCCCCCTCTTCCCATCCTAGGGCCGGAGTGAACACCACCCCTTTTCCTTCATGGAGCAGGGGTCCTCTAGGCACCACAATGGTGTCTCATTGGGAGGATAGAGTGGCCGCTTCTCAACCAGGGCACGGGCAGGAGGGAGGAAAGCAGGCTGCCTTCCAGCTCCCTTTCCAGGAGGGATTTTAAGCACTTTCCAAAAATGCCATGCGAGTCAATGCTGTTGAAGACCGGGGCCCAGATGCTTTGAGCATCAGCAAAAAACTCTGGGGTCCCCTACCTCATTTTACAGGCTTCCCCAAACAAACCCATGTTCCCCTCTTATACCTTAGCCCCCACCCCAGTCATCACACACACTGTGCTCATCCCCCGGGCCCCCGCCCCCAGACCCTCCCTGCACGCACAGTTCCCTACGTGGCGCCTCCCGGCCGGAGCCCTCCTTCCCTCCTCCGTTGATCCCCCAAGACCTCTGCAGCCCCTCCCCACGTCCACTCCCAGGCAAACAAGGCCTACCGACTTACCCGTAGGTGGGCCTGGGGTCCAGACAGGAAGGGGTCTCCGTTGGCCGAGGCGGCTCTGCAAGGCGGGGCAGGTGTTGCCCCGGGACCCCGCCCCGCGGACCCGGCGGTAGGCGCGGCCCGGTCCCAGGCGGACGGCGGACTCCGAGGGGATAGGGGCGCGGGGCGGGGAGGGGCGGCGAGAGAGGCTCACGGGGGCATCGCCCGCCACCAGGCTGGGCAGCTCCGCTCCGCCCGTCTGCGCTACCGGCTGTGCAACCTCCACGGTTCTCAGTCGCCGCCGGGTGCAAAGCCCAAGCCCCGGCTGGCGGGAGGCGAAGAGGGAGGCGGGGTTTGATGGGGCGGGGCCAATGTCTGGTGGGAGGAGCCAGTGTAAGGGGCGTGGTCTACTGGGCAGGGCCTTTGATGGTGGGCGGGGCCTAGGGGAATAGGGAGAGTCTGGGTTTGCCTGGTTGGTAGCGACCTACGCTAATAAGGCTCGAAGGGGGCGGGGTCTAGAAGATGGCCTAAAGCTTCTCCACATCCTTAGGACACTACTGCTTCATATCTGGCCCCTCTCAGGCACATCCCCTATACTCATCCTTCCTTTCCTTTGGGGCACCTCACTGGCACCACAGTACCCTGTCCCACCCTGAACCAGAACTAGGAACGTCAGATAGGGAGGGAAGGGGGAAACAACTTAAAAACTCCAAATCCAATTTACAGATGGAAAAACTGAAGCCCAGAAAGGAGAAAAGACTTGTCCAAGTGCCTGCTATGAAGAAAAAGACTTTATGATGCCCCTTTTAGATAATAAGGTTGTAGAGAGTGTCCTGTCCTGAGACCCAAGTTAACTTCTCTCCCCTGCCCTCCCTTCTGCTAGAACAGTGGTTTTCAACTTGAGGTAAATTTGCCCCCCACCCTCACCCCCCCGGAGACATTCGATGATGTCTGGAGACATCTTTGGTTTTCATAACTGGGGGTTGCTACTTGCATCCAGTGCAAAGAGACGAGGGATGCTGCTAAACATCCTCCAATTCCCAGAGCAGCTCCACACCTAAGAATTATCAGACCCCAAATATCAATAGTGCCAATGTTGAGAAACCCCGCTCTAGGAACTTAGCATCAGCCTAAATGTACTTCCAAGTGAGCCCCCTGAATCCTGGATTCCTTGGCAGCCTGGGATTTGAGAGGGATGTTGTATCAAGTGTCTACTTGGGTCATGCCTACCATCTTGTTGTGTTTAACCTCACTTAGGTGGTCAATTCCACTCCGGGACTCCAGTGTTCTTAATTCCACTCATTTACAGAGGGGACAATATTATTAGTCTTTGCCTTCCCAATTGTTTGCTGGAGGCAGGCAAAACAAATAGCGTTCTCTGATGAGGGCATGGATTAAAATGTGAATGGGGAGTTGAAAGGTGTGGGGGAAAAGAAAATGATTGGGATTAAACGACACTCTTGGGATAGCTAGCTGTATCTTCTACATACTGCTCACCCTATCTCATCCCTTCTCTATGAGAAGGGTAAACTGAGAAGCGACAATGTGGAGAGCCCAAATCTGGGTTCTATGGCTGCTCAGCAGTGGAGCTGGGACACACAATTTTATTCATGTATGAACTAAATTTTTGTTATCATCTAATCTACATCAGGCCTAGAACTAAGGCCTGTGTTGTAGAACAACTGCTCTGGAGCAACAAAAGGGGTTAGATTGGGAGGCCTGGGAAGTAGCTGGGACAATGGTGGAGGTGAAGGATGCAGTGAACAGAGCTTGTGATGATATGGGAGAGAAGGGAGGAATCAAGAATCAAAGCATCCCATCACAGAGATATGTAAACTAGGGGCTCCCTTTGGACTCATGGTCCCTTTGCACATCTGATGAAAATGTAGACTTTCCCTCTGGAGAAATGTGCACATGTACACTTTCTATATAATTTCAGGGACTTCAAAGCTCCACCTTGGCTTCCAGAAGGGTTGGGTGGGGGTGTGGGGGGTTAGGGGTAGGGGTTGATTTTTAAGTGCATATAGAAGAATAAACATGCAGAAATTCAAAATCTAGAAAAAAAAAGTAATGGACAAGGATTCATCTTACCTGATATTAAAACATAAAGTCAGTGTATTTAAAGCAGAATGGTATTGAAGTAGACATAGAGGAATCAGTAGAACAAAGTGGAGTATAGAAATGGAAAACTACCCAGGGGAGTTTGGTGTATGATAAAGATAGCACTTCAGGTAAATAGGTGGAAATGTAGGCCTTTCAACAAATGGGTGGACTAACTGGCAAGTCATTGGGGAAATAAAAGAAAGCTGTGTCCGTTTCCTACACAGAAATAAATTCCAGGTGAAGTGCATATTTAAATAATAACACCATAATGTACCAGAAGAAAACATACGCAATGTTTTAGTAATCTAATTCTAAGCATGATGAAACCTACAAGCAAAAGGGAAAACACCAGTAAATTTGACTATAAAAACTGCTACTGAGAGGATGTGGTCAGACTCAAGTTTGAAAGACAAATGACAAGCGGGAGGGATTAAATCCCAGTTGTCCTCTACTCTTGCACCCTCTGGTATGCCAGCCCCTCCCTGCAGCTGAGAAGGGGACGAACAGGAGGGACCGAGGTGGCTGTGAGAGTTGAGGCCGAGCGTCTCGCCGAGGCTCCTCCCACGGCGCCCTGGCTAGCGCCCACCTGTTCAGGGGCCGGGAAGCCCCGGAAATCCCCTCCAGGCCATCTGGGTCCACAGCAGGTGCCTTAGCACCGCGGAGCCATAGTCCGCCCCGAGGCTGCTCGCCACTTCTCTCGTGTGGCCATCCTGGGAACTGCAATCCTCGGTTTCCAGCTCATGCATCTTCCCGACGTTAAGGTGGGATTTTTTTTTTAGGATAAATAACATCAAAAATTCTAAGGGAGCTAACAATGACCCAGGCATTGTGATAAGCAGTTAACAGAGTATTTAATTTGATCTTCAAACTAACTCTTCTAGGTGGGTCCACCGTAGATAGTATCATCTCCATTAGATAGACAAGGAAACAGGATTTGAGAGACAAGCAACTTTCCAGACTCTAAGTGGTAGCGTCAGAATTCAGTGTCTGACTCCTGGCCCCACTCTTTATGTAAGAAAGCCAAGTCTTTGGGGGGAGTCAGTAAAACAAAGTGTTTTTTGTTTGTTTGGTTTGGTTTTTTTGGTGTGTTTTTTTAAAGATTTTTATTGGGGAATTGGAACAGCGCTGGGAAATTGGGGTAAGGGGAACAGACAAGTTGCTCTGGTTTTGTTCTTTAGTCTAGTTGTGGAGGACGTTGCTTCACTGGCCCAAGTTGGCACCATCATTGCGCTCTTCCCTGGTGAGGCAGATCAGTCGCCGGTTTCTGGATGGCCGCTCACTGCGGCTGCTCACGCTGGCTGCTGGCTACACACGGTAGCCCATGGCAACCCACTGCAGCAGGGGCTGCAGCCTCCGCTGTCGCCGGCGACTCAGGGCAGCCCAGCTCCAGGTTGAGCTGTTGTTCAGCATCTTAGCTGTAGAGGGCGCAGTGTCACTGGACCTCATGTGGGATCTTAGCCGGGGTCCTGCTGCTCAGAGCTGGCGTCCCAAGCCAGCTCTTAACCACTGCGCCACTTGGCCGGCCCAAAACAAAGTGTTTTGAGGTTAATCTTGGTCCAGATCTTGTCCCAGGTCCTGGGGATTCAGAATTTAGAGAAAAAACCAGTAGGGGAGACATGCAGAGAGAAATATTTCTGATATAGTGAATTCTGGAAACGGCAGAAGACATGTTAACCCCAGGAAGGGATGAGGGCAGTGGGGAGGGATCCCAGAGATGTCCTTGGAGCTGAGTTTTGTGGAGTTTGAGGAAGGGCTGAAGGAGTAGGACAGCACTCACAGGCCTCGGAAGAGGAAGAGCGGGTCTTAGGGGAGGAGTGGTGGTCTACATGCCCTCGGGCTGGGGTAAGTTGGAGGTGAGGCTGGAAACGTACACCAGGACCAAGTGAGAGTTTTGGGCACAGAGGTCTTTGGGCACAAAGATTCTGAGAACTTCTCCATGTTTCAGTTGACTTGGTCTAGCGGCCACCTGGTCGACCTGCCCAACCTGCCTCTCTCCTCACAGATGCTCCCCACCTGGGTTCAAGGTACCATTTGCCTAAGCCAGAAACCTGGGAGTCCCTCTGGACTCCCCTTTCATCCTCATCTCCGTCCAGTTAATTATCAGGGCCTGCCCAATCTACCTTCTACATATTCCTCAGGTTCATTTACTGCTCTCTGTCCTCATGGCCACCTCCCTCATCCAGGCTGCCTTCCTCTCACTCCTGAATCCAGTTGCTGGTAGTGACTTGGGCTTACCACCCCCAAACTTTCACGCAAGAGCAATCCTTCTAAAGCAAATCTGACCACAACTCCTCTTCTATTAAAAACCCTTTTTTCATTGATCCATTCAACAAATATTGAGCAAGCATTTGTTACATGTCAAGCACGGAGGACACATGATAAGCAAAATATAGAATTTAAAACCTGTTGGGGGGCCGGCTGAGTGGCGCGTTGGTTAAGAGCTGGCTTGGGAAGCCAGAGGGCCCCGGTTCGGATCCCACATATGAGGGCCAATGACACTGCCCTCCACAGCTAAGATGCTGAACAACAGCTCAACCTGGAGCTGGGCTGCCGTGAGTCGCTGGCGACAGCGTAGGCTGCAGCCCCTGTGGCAATGCGTTGCCATGGGCTACCGTGTGTAGCCAGCAGCCAGCAGCCGCTATGAGCGGACGTCCAGAAGCCGGCGACTGATCTGCCTCACCCAGGAAGAGCACAATGATGGTGCCAACTTGGGCCAGTGAAGCAACATCCTCCACAACTAGACTGAAGAACAAAACGACAGCAACTTGTCTGTTCCCCTTCCCCCAATTCCTCAGCGCTGTTCCCATCCCCCAATTCCCCAATAAAAATCTTTAAAAAAACCAAAAACCTGTTGGGGTGGCAGACACCAATTAAATGACCCCCCCACACACACCAAAACAATATGTAATTACAAATTGGGATACATGCCATAGGAGGTCTGACCTAGTAAGGGAGGTTCTAGAGCGACCCCCTAGGTATCCCAGCTGAAGTTTGAACAGCAGTCAACCAGGTCAAAGAGTCAAGGATGGGTAAGAGCTTATGCAAAAGCCCTGAAGATGTTTTTCTGAATCTCAGTTTCCTCATCTATACAATGGGGATAATTAGAGTTGTGAGGATTAAATGAGTTAGTATGTATAAAGTCCTTAGAACCGGTCCTGGGACATAATAAAATTTCCATAAGTGTTAGCTATGATAACAACAATAATTATCATTATTAATTTTTTAAAAAGTAGAGAGCCATTGAAGGTCTATCAGCAAAGGTGAAATGAGAAGGTGGCATTTTTAAAAGGTCACTCTGGTTGCAGTGAGGAGCATGGATCGGAACAAAGAAAGAGCAGATTTAGAAGAACTAATGTGGAGACTTTGCAGGGGTCTATTGAGAGCTGGGGGGCATTTAAACTAAGGAGACAGAGAGGACTTCAAGAGATTTTGTGGTTTAGATGGTAGAAACTACTGGCTTTGGTGTCTGATTAGCGGTAGAAGGTGGCAAGGGGGTTTCCCAACATTTTGGCCCCAGCAGCAGGGTGGAGAGTGATGTTCTTCACCAGGTGAGGGAAGCCTGGAGGAGGACCAGTCCCGGGGGAGATACTGAGTCCAGTTCCGGACGTGTTCACACACAGGAACTGTGGGGCATCCTGGATGAGGGGCTGCAGAAGCAGCTGACCGGAGCTGGAGTTAAGAGGAGAAATTATAACTGGAGACATTAAATTGAGATTGTTGGCAAATACATGAAAATTGAACCTCTATCATCCCACGTGTGAAATGGTAGGAGGAAGTTTTCTGCTGGGTCCAACATGAGTAGGATTTGAAGTGTTAAGGTTGGTAGGACCCCAGACACAGAGAGAAAAAAATCGACGTGGCCTGAAAAACTTGGCAGAGGCTATTATTCCTTCATCTGACTGTCTTTTACTGAGCAGCTACTATGAGCCATGTGCTCTACTGGGGATGGAAGGGTGAACGAGGCCCAGCCCCTGCAGTCAGGGTATTCACAACCTGGTGAGGAGACAGACAAGGGAAAGGGCAATTATGAAAATACAGTCACATGCCATTTAACAATGGGGATATGTTCTAAATAATGCATCATTAGGTGATTTTGTCATCATGGGAACATCATAGAGTGCACTTACACAAACCTAGATTGTACAGCCTACTACATACCGAGGCTGTATGGAATGGCCTGTTGCTCCCAGGCTACGAATCTGTACAGCATGTTACTGCACTGAATACTGTAGGCACTTGTAACACAATGGTGAGTATTTATGTATCTAAACATAGAAAAAGTACAGTAAAAATACAGTATAAAATATTTTACATTTGATCTTAGCCAAAAGGCCGAGAAGTGATAGTATAAAATATTTTAAATGGTACACCTGTATAGGGCACTTGCCATGAATGGAGCTTGCAGAACTGGAAGTGAGCCAGTGCTGAGTGACTGTGAAGGCTGAGGACATAACTGCAGTATTATAGACTTTATAAGTGCTGTCCCACAAGCCTTCCCCCTGCTTCCTTCTGACAGGGTCAGAAATAGAACATTGAAGAGGTCCATGCAGTTCCATGAACAGGGATGTGGGTTGGACTGATTGGAAATATCGAGGAGAAACTGGCTGGGTACGGCCTCGATCACCATAACAGTGACTGTCAGGAGGGAGTGGAAGGGGCCTGAGGACCAGTAGGAATAAGAAATCAAGACGGAAAGATAAAGGAACATAGGGGGTTGTCATGGCAATGTGATTTTGGCTATTGCATGTTGGAGCAGTGGTCAGATTCAGGAACTTCATGGTATTCATTAAAAAAACCAGACACTCCTTTATATTTGAGCCAGATTGTGTTTTACATGGAGAGGGTGTAGAACTGAGGACCCAATAATTTGATTTTGGAAATTTGTTTTGATTCCATTGACACAACTTGGCACAAAGGGCTCTCTCTCTGGCATTGAACTGATAGAAGAAATAAACATCATCTATGCTTTACATCATTACAACCTGAAAATATTTTCAAAGTACAGGGACAGGCTGGCTCCATACCACCACAGAAAGCTTTTATTAAAGTGGCAGTGGCACTTCATACTTGTTAAGGTAGCTCCTGTGGGCATGTGTCCTTGTGCAGGATCTGAGGTCCTCCACAAAGAATTTACAGCAATGTGCTCTGAAGACCATCAGCTAGATCTAGGATGGCTGTAGCGCCCTCTGAATATGTAGCGCTGGGGGGACAGACTTCCGGATCTGACACAGTTCAGGGCCTACTGATGTGGATGTGATCTGTGCACTGATACTTGAGGTGCTGTGAGTGAGAAGGAATCTATTGCCAAGCCCCATGGGTATTGTTCCCATCACAGAAAAAAAAACAAAAAAACCCTAAACCACATATATCAAAACCAAGTGCCTTAAGGCAAGCTTGGGAGACCAAGGAATGCTTCCTAGAGGAAGTAACATCCAAGACAAGACTGAAAGTCAGGCGGAAAAAAGCTGTGTGGAAAATCCCAACCTGGGAGGCTTGTTAGTGTGATTGTTGTTCATTTGGTTATTTTAAAGATCCTCATCTCCCTTGAGGTTTTCACTCGGGACTCTAGGTATGCACCTCGAGTCCATTTCAGGACAATAGTAGTTGAACTTCTTCAGGTCTGTTGAATTTGTCTTCTTCTAGATCCTTGTCCTCATTGCCCCTCATGGCCTCAACTCCACACGACCTTCCAGGGCTTGGACAAGGGTGGGTCGAATGAGACACCTAGGGCACAGATCTAGGGAGGCACTCACTCTCAGGGGCATGTGGTGTGCTCCCGGCTAGGTTCCCTGCTCACTCCCCGGCTCCAGACTTTCAGGTGCTCCTCCCAGCTCACATCGTGCTGTTCAGTGACTCCTCGCATTTGCCTGATGGAAGCTCTCACTGCTCAGCTCAGACACCACCTCCTCCTGGAAGCCTACTGCTCTCCCCAGTTATCCCTGCCTCCTCCTTAGGCCAAGATGGTCCTCCATGCTGGAGCACCATAATAAAGGCTGCAAGGCACAGTGGTTAACGGAGCAGGCTTTGGCATCAGAGTCCTGCTGTGCCGTTTATTATCTGTGCACCACTCTCTGAGCCAGTTTCCATATGTGTACAACGTGGCGCCGACTTCACAGGGGAGCTGTAAAGATTAAATGAGAAAAACATATGTAAAGCGATCATCAGTGATTGGCACAGGGTGCTCAGTAAGTGGTAGCTATTATTACTTTGTTTATACTTCTAAAGCACTCATATATTCTAATTATTTTCCTGCCTTTATCTTCACCATACCAGAAGTTTCTCAGGGCAGGGAGGAGGAGGAAGAGGAGAAGAGGAAGAAGAAGATCTTCATGAATTACATATAATGGGCATTAAGACATGTCTGCTGCATGAATGAAGGAAAGAAATGACAAATGCCACGGGGAAAGTTCTGGGCAGAAAATCTGGAGCCTTGGACTCCAGTGATGGCACAGTGCCTGCCCAACTCATATCCACTTTGAAGAAAAGCTGCCCAGACCACAAACCCTGTTGGGGGCCGTGCTTGAGACCACTCAGGCCCTGCTGCCTCGAGTCTTGAGCAGATAGAGTCAGCACCAGAGCCAAGGGTTACCATTTCATATATTAGCTGGCAACCTTTAATGGCCTAGCACAACAACCTGAGACAGGACAATTGGAGGCTCTCCTGAACCAAGGAACAGAAAGCTGTTATGAGATGATGGAGGGAATTAAAGCAGGGAGGTCAGAGACCAGTGAGCCTGAGCCAGCAAAGCCATGTGCAAGCTGAGATAAGAGGGAGCAGAGGCCAGGAGTAAAAGGAAGCCTGTTTGTAGCGAGAGGAGAGAGGGAGCAGCCCTGTACAGAGATGGGGAGGGTGTGAGGGGAGGGAGAATGAAGAGAACAGGGAGTCCTAGGCCTGCCTCATTCCTGCTGGCATTTCACTTCCAGTCCTTACTGGAAACTCCTTTGTATTTGAGCTAGGTTAAGTAGTTTCTGTTCCTTACAGCCTGAGGAGCCTGACTCTACTTGTTATCTTGGCAAGTCTCTGTCTCCTTCGGGGCCTCAGCTGGACTAGGCCATCTCTAAGGTCTTCTCCAGATCAATGTTCTCTTTGAACATCAGGTAGAGAGAGTGGTTTTTAGGTTGTTGGCAACTGAATTCTGTATTAGTTACAGAATGCCATGACATACTGGCTCCCAAAATAGCTTGGTAGCTGGTTAAAGAGCCCGTGGCAGGATCCAACACACACCTGGCTTTGAACCTGAGTCCTGTGGATACAATCTGTCTTCCCCTTCCATTGCATCCTTTATTGGATCACAAAGGAACTGAAGAACTAGGGCTGGTGTTTCTCCAGTGTTTTTTGGCTGCTGAATGCCCTACCTACCTCCTTAACACCTTTCTGGACCCACTTCAGCATTTCAGAGGATTCCAGTGCCAGTTCTACTCCAAAGAAAGTGCAACTGACTCTAGGAGGAATTTGAACAAAGAAAGTTTCCTTCTTTGGTGGTAAGGTCTCCTGCCTTCCAGCTGTTTGGCTCTCGACCTATGCCCTACCTTCATCCTTCTAAGCTAACAACTATGTTGATAATAATACTTCCTCGCTTTTGTACAATGCTTTGTACTTTTCAGAGCATTTTAATGCTTATTATCTTATTTGATACTCATAGAAACCCGGGAAGAATGGGCAAGAGGAGGAATAAAGAAAAATATCTATCATTTCTTCTATCCCATCTACCCTCTTAAAATTATTTTAAAAGAATTTAGAGAACCTTCTCTCTGCTTTAAAAAACAAAACAAAACAGATGGCAATATTGAGACTGAGCTTGATTAAATGACTTGCCCAAGATCACAGAGCAAGTTAATGGCTGAGTTGGGTCCAGACGATTTCTAATTATGAATCACACTTAAGCAGGACTTGCCTAAGACCACCTTGCAAAACACTACCAGCCATGGCAGGGGGGCCCCTGACAGAAGCAGTATTCTTGGCACTGCTGCCCCTTTGAGGCCTCCAGGAGTCACTCACAATCGTACCCCTTCAGTCCCTACGGAGAACTGGCTGCCCCCTAAGGGTTTGGGTAGCACCAGGAGCCCACAGAAGTAAGTCAGGTTAGGTGTAAGGATTTAGGAAGAGTTCCTCGGGTATTGGCAAGGATAAAAGCCATCGGAAGAGTCAGTTTTTTTGTTTTGATTACAGAGCGCTTGGTAGAAGAGAAGACGGGAAAGGCTGGAAACCATTGGTCTTCCCTTCCATCAGCACTTCTGAAAAAGAGGAAGCAGAGGTAATATTAATAGCTGCTGCCCCTCCTCCCTTCCTAAACTCTACTCTGCAGCGAGGATACCCTTTCCTGGCCTCTCTGTTTTGGGCCCCCTTGCCAACTGTACTTACTGCTGCACCCCCACCCAGTCATTCTGGAGTCCATCCCTGCCAGTCACAACACGGAGTCAAGTTATCTTGGGAGGCAAGTAGTAAGTTCTCTATCACTAGGTTCTAATAGGGGTAAGTGAGGCAGCAAAAGGAGTAAGAGGCTTTATCTGTGCTTTCTCCTGGGTGCCTCCTTGCTCCTTTCCCATTGCCCCAGTGGAGAGCTTAGTGTGCTTCTCCTGTGGCATCACTCAGTCCAACATCTGCAAACAGCACAACTGGGAAATTAGTCATGGCAGTCAGCCTGTGCAATAGCCAGGACAACATTGTGTCAGTCAGGGTGAAGACAAGAAAACAGGAAATGTGCTTGCAATTTCAAACAGAGGGCATTCATTTCAGAGAACTGGTTAGAAACGTGTTGGCTTGAAGGAGCAAAAGGGTAAGACGGACAAACTAGAGAATAGTAGCTGTAGGAAGCTTCTCCCATCAAATGGAAGCATGTCACTAGACCTAGAAGTGCACTCGCTGCTGACACTACTGGAGCATTGTTTTTGAAATAATGCTACTGGCAGAATTGCCAGAGGTCTCTGGAGCCTGCAGCTACCCACTGCTGCCCCTCCAGCACCACTGACACTGCTGAAGCCTGTGGCAGTAGCCCACCACTGCTGGAAATGCTGAAAGTCTCTGAGCCCATAACCACCAGCTGTTGCCAGTGTCTCAGGTGGATGCAGAGAGAACAATGGTTACGCCTCTCCTCCAGCCACCCCATCTCCAGCCATATAATTTCCCACCTGTACGTCCCATTGACTGAATCTGACAGGAAGCCAGCTGGCAAGGGGATTCTGGGAAATGTACTTCTCAGGGCCCAGCCTTCTTCAGTTCAAAGCAGAGCATGGAAAGGCTAGAGTGGAGCTCAGAGCAAACAGGCAAATGACCATCATAAATGCTATTGAAACTTTCAACTACTTTTGTCACCTTAAGGCCATATATGTATTGGACATCAGTCAATTACCTCGTTTCTCCATTTCCCCTTCCCCAATAGCCCCTGAGTTCCTTCCCAGGAATTCAACTTCTAAGAAGCTGATTCAGTCAGGGTAGGGCAGGGCTGAACCAGTCAACCCCACCAGCCAAAATGATTGGATCAGGGAGGTCATATGAATTCAGCCAGTTTAATCAGAGTAAATCTCAAGATTTTTGCTAACAAGACTGGCACACAGACTTTCTTTCTTGCTAACTATGAATGAGGAAGTATGCAGCCCCTGGCACTGATGGCAGTCATCTTGGGACAATAAAGGGAGCAGAAACCAGGAAAAAAGAGTAGCATTGAAGACTAGGAGATTAATTTGGGGGCACATATGAAACCCACATACTGTAGTCGCTGCTTAGGACGCTCTCATAGTTAATCAGGCTCATGCCCCTTAGGGTGCCTATTATCTATCACAAAACAATACCAATTTATAAGCATCATGGAAAACTCTGAAAGAGAAAAAAAGTTCTCAGAATCCTGTACCAGTGACTTTTAAATATTTTTTACTGTACCTTCAGTAAGAACTATATTTTACAGTGTGACCAGTATACATGTAACTGTATATATAACTGAAACAAAAGTTTCACAATAGTTTTCACAGTAGTTACCCTTGCTATGTGCAATTAATTCAATTTTTCAATTCAATTTTATTCCATTTTTTTCAATAAAGCTGGTTGCAAACTTCTGAATGATTTCAGGATCTACTAATGGGTTATGACTTGTGATTTGAAAAACACTGCCCTATATATAATGCCATCATCAATTGCTGCAAAACTCAACTCTTGATTTTAAGCATCCTAACCTTTACTAATTGTCCTGCGTCTGTACAAAGCATATTCTCTGTCTTCCTTTGTTCTAAAGAAAAGTCACAGTATCTCAGCTCCTATTGAAGGCCAACCTCTCCCCAACCTGTGCTGAGGACCCCAAGAACTTATATTTGCAGGTAGTCTCTCTTTTTTGCATTGTCAAGTTCTGCTTGTCAACTGAAATATTTAGTTGACAAATTTGCTCTAGGGTCTCTCTCCTTAAAACCAAAAACAAACCAATAAACAAAAATCTCCCTTTGAGCCCACTTCCTTAAGTCAACCAGATTAGATATAGGACAAGAAGCAGAAGGGGACCTAGAGGTGAACTCAGTAGAAAGAGTGAGGACTTTGGCAAGAAGGCAAGTGGTGGGTATGGAAAGGAAAAGAAGGCATGGAGATTTGTGTGAATGGGTAGAAATCAGAAGTGAATTTCTGTGACCCTAGAACTACTTTTCTTAAACTCCCCTTTTGAGAATCCTGCTCCCTGGATCCCAAATCTTTGTTGCTGGAGCCTGGACTTTGGAGTCAGATAAGTTCAAGTTCAACAACGTCTCTGCCATTTCTGAGCTAACTTTGGATAAATCACATCTCTTCTTTAAGTTTTCTCATCTGTAAAGTTAGTCTAATAAAAACTCTCACTGAGTTGGCTTAAGGGTTGAATGAGATCAACACGTTAGCTCTTATTATTATCAAGGCCTTCCCCCATCCTTGTACAAAACCTTACTCCCCCACTAATGATAATTATCATAGTAACCACTTGTTGAGCAATTCCTTTGTTCCAGGCAGCATGCTAAGGATCTTACAAATGGTTTCCAAGCCAAGGAGTCTCGGGCACCTTCTCACTGCAGAGTTTTCACCTTCTGATAACTTAATTAGCATTTATAGAGTGAATACCATGCACCAGGGAGTGAATTGGCTTACTTGCATTTATTCATTCTACAGATGTTAATTAAATACCTACCATGGTGCCAGGAACTTACTAGATGCTGGAGATACCAAGATGAACAAGGCCCTGAACCTTGAAGGACTTACAATCTAGTTACACACTAAGTGCTGTGTAATGAGGGTATGTATATGAGATGTTCTTGTGGCTTCCTTGGTCTAGGCAACCCCATCTTTGGCTCAGACCCCACAACTGACAGTGTTTCTGATTCTGTTTTTCTGGCTTGACCGTGGAGCCCTATCTTCAGGACATGACTTTGAATTTTCAGCTCCCCATGTGGCCACCAGGATTACGAGAATTAAAAAATCCGGTTTCCCAGTCGCACTAACCATGCTCAATTTGGTTTCTCAGTTGCACTGCTAAATAACCACATGTGGCTGGCTGGTGGCTACTATATTGAACAACACAGATATAAAACATTTCCGGGGTGGCTGGGTGGCTCAGTTGGTTAGAGCGCGTGCTCTTAACAACAAGGTTGCTGGTTCCACTCCCGCGTGGGATGGTGGGCTGCGCCCCTGCAACTAGATTGAAAGCGGCGACTGGACTTGGAGCTGAGCTGTGCCCTCCACAACTAAGACTGAAGGACAACAACTTGACTTGGAGCTCATGGTCCTGGAAAAAACAGACTGTTCCCTAATAAAGTTAAAAAAAAACACCCCAACAACATTTCCATCACTGAAGAAAGTTCTGTTGAATGGTGTTAGTTTAATCAAAAGTGTAGGATAGCATTGAGTTAGATAGTGTTCTGTCTTCTGACCTCTTCTCCTTACCCTCTCTCCCCTTGTTTATTCTCAGGGAGTGGGCAGCTATTGCGTGGTCTGCCCAACTCCCTAGTCCCACTTTTGTGGGAACTCTGTCCCGCATCTTGCTATCACACACCTTTATTCACAGTATTATAGCGGACACAGTGATGTTTATACATGACCCTGTGCCCTCCTCCACAACAATGTTGATTGGTTCAGGGTGAACATGGACACCTGGCCAAATCTAGCCCACACAGCAGCTCTTTCTCCAACGAATTTGAAATTGAGCCTAAAAGTCTAGTTACCTGGCTGATCTCTTGAATGCAGGTGACCTGGGATCGATGGGTGATAATGTTTTCTTTGATTTGGATTGGGAAACTGGTTTTCAGAAGGACGAAAAAAATGACAAAAGGGTTACACATATTGGAGAGAGTTGGATCTAGGAGCTCAAAGGATTTCATGGCTCGGTGTCCCTCTCTTTCTGTGAGCCATGCCTTCCTCTGTGATGCCTTCATGCTCAGGGAGGCTCTCTCCATGAAGCAGAAATGATGGCCACCCGCCGATCCTTATGGGTCAAGACCTCTAGAAGAAAAGTCAAATCTCTCCTATATTTCACATCTTTAGAAAGGCTCTTATCTTAGTTTGAGTCATGTGCCCATCTGTTCAGAAACTGTGACCTGAAGAAGGGATTAAGTGGGATGCCCAATCCTAGGGCACTGAGAATGAGGGAGAAGAGAAAGCAGGAAAAGATGGGAAGCAATGCAAGAAAATGTTTGCTGGTTACTTCACACAATGAGCTGTGAAGAGTCACAGCTAGTCTTTTGACAGGTACGTGCTTGGCCATGCAGAATGTCTCTAGACAGGTTGTATAGAGAAATTATAACTTGAATCAGTCCTCAGAGGAAGGGAGAGGGTTGTTCCATCCTCTCCTTCCTGTCTCTTGTCTCCTATGGGTCACTTTGACCTATGGGTACTTAACGCTCCTGTACTTCTAGGTTGCTTCATTGTCCCCTTCAGCAGCTACTCGGGAAGCTGGATTTCATGTTATGTGAGGTGGTGTGTCATCAGGGTCTGGAAGCTGGAGGAGAAGCCATAGAATCCATGTTTGCAACTAGTTGGCCTCAGGCAGGACTGTGAGGCCACACTCAGAGTTGGTCAGCAATGTCTGAGGTTGAGGTGGGCCAAGTAGCTTATGGTCTGGGAGCCAAATGACACTGAGAGACTCTAAGGAGATCCAGGGCCAAAATGTGGGGATTGTTATGATTGGTCAGGCTGGGTCATATGCCTACCCCTATGGCCGAGGTGCTATAGAAGAGATACTATGATAGGAAGTATCCCATCCTCCCTCCCCTCATGTCAGTTCAGATCCTCAGAAAATCAGACACCAAGACAGGATTAAATGTAAGAAATTTATTATGGAAAACACCTATGAGAGAAAATGGGTAGGAGCTGGGGAAGACTCAGAGAGAACCATCAGATGGTGATGCAGCTCTGACCCTAAGTGAAGGAGAGAGAGAAGGAAGGAGTTTTAGGAGGAAGTGTCTTAGACTGCCACGAAGCTCTAAGGAAAGTCTGGCAAGACCTTCGAGGAGTCCATGAGCCAAAGTCACCCATCAGAGGAGTATCACCGGCCTTCATTCCATCTTGCCTGAACTATTGTGGAAGTCTCCACCTGGTCATTTTGCAACCCTATTCCATCCTACTCTGTCTGCCAGATTGTCTTTAAACACAGTTTTGACCATGTCACCCCTCTTTGTAAAAACTATCACTGAGAATGTAAAATGGTGTAGCCGCTGTGGAAACAGTATGGTGGTTCCTCAAAAAATTAAACATAGAATTATCGTATGATCCCACAATTTCACTTCTGGGTATAATTTTAGCACCCCAAAGAATTGAAAGCAGGAACTCAAACAGATATTTGCACACCAATGTTCACAGCAGTATTATTCATAGCAGCCAAAAGATGGAAATAATTCAAATGTCCATCAACAGATGAATAAACAAAATGTGCTATGTACACACAATGGAATACTATATTCAACCATAAAAAAAACTTGAAATTTTGGTATGCTATGACATGGATGAACCTTGAACACATTATGCTAAGCGAAATAAACCAGATACAAAAGGACAAATATTGTATGATTCTGTGAGATACCTAGAACAGTCAAATTCATAGAGACAGAAAATAGAACAGTGGTTACCAAGAGCTGGGAGAGGGGAGGATGAAGAGTTATTGTTTAATGGGTACAGAGTTTCTGTATGGGACAAAAAATTCTGGCAATGGATAGTGGTGACGGTGGCACAACAATGAGTGTACTTAACGCCACTGAACTATACACTTAAAAATGGTTAAAATGGTAAAACAACTCTCCACAGTAGAAAAATAAAACACAAGAGCTTTAATCTGATCTTAATATATGTTTCCAGACAATTCTTCTTCCTTTTCCTCTTACTTTGTATTTCCTCAGTTGATTCCTGGTTTCCTATATTTGCTCTAGTGGCCACCTACACAGGGCATGCTCTTCCCCTAATGCTACTTTTTTCAAAACCCAGTTCAAATGTCCCATCCTTGCAAATATTTCCTGAACTCCTCCATTTCATACTAAGTGGAAGTAATCTCTTCCTTTTTTGAACTCCCACAGCACATGAATCATCTCTCTTTAGCACTTACTGCTTTTCTTTTAGGTCATAATGCGATAAAGGAGTTTAGCTTAAGGTCATCCAGTTGGCCCTCTAGACAGGTCCCTCTACAGTGCTATATAACCTTAAGGAATTTACCATCATCCCCAAACTAGTCTTCAGCCTTACAAACTCAGAAGCCTGATTTTAATAGCAAAGAGTAGAACCATCTCTCAGGAGGGCTATTGTATTCACTAAGTTCACAGAAACTGATAGTTATAAAAACAGAATTCAATAGACTAATTTAAATGAAAAATGCAGTTATCAAAAAGAACTGGAATCCTCTAGGTGGCAGATCACTAAATTCTGTCCCTATAGGCAAGACATTTGCTGAGCAAACAGACTCACACCAGGAAAGCACACTGAAGCACTTCTTAGTTGAGGCAGCCTGAATTATTCTCCCCTACTTCAGGGATGACATGGACAAGGAAATCCGAATGCTAAGGTCGGCTTGACTGAGACAAAGCTTAGAGGGGCAATGCTAGCGCTTGTCTCTCTGACTGCCTTGTTTTGGGCTGTCATGGCTAATTAAGCCCTTGGGTTCACAGACTGTCTCTCCAAACAGGATACAGAATGATTGGTTGACAAGATTGATTCAGCTTCCTTTTGTAAAATTACAATCATATCTGCCTTCTTGCGATTCCTCCCATATGACCTGGATCAGAGTTGGGTTTGTTTTTTGATGATGTTTGTAGAGAAGCTCTTGTCTTACCCCCACAGATAGCGAATTTCAGGGCTGTATTAGTGAATTTAGGCCAGCTAGGTTATGCTGCAGAAACAAACAACTAAAACAATCTCAGTGGCTTACAGCAAATTTTTATTTCTTTTTTAAGGTTTTATTGGGGAATTGAGGGGATGGGAACAGCGCTGGGGTATTGGGGGAAGGGGAACAGACAAGTTGCTGTCCTTTTGTTCTTCAGTCTAGTTGGGGAGGATGTTGTTGCTTCACTGGCCCTTGTTGGTATTATCATTGCGCTTTTCCCGGATGAGGCAGTCCCTCGCCTGCCATTGGATGCTGCTCATGTCCGCTGCTGGCCAGCCCCACTGCAGCCTACGCCGTCGCCGGCAACTCATGGCAGCCCAGCTCCAGGTCAAGCTGTTGTTCACCATCTTAGCTGTAGAGGGCAGTGTCACTGGCCCTCATGTGGGAGCTGAACCAGGGCTCTGCTGCTCAGAACTGGCATCCCAAGCCAACTCCTAACCAACACACCACTCAGCCAGCCCCCCGGTTTTCTTACTCATGTTACATGTCATGTGTGTCAGTTGTGGTTATGCACATCTTCATTCTAGGACCAAAGCTGAAGTTCCTCTACTTGGGACACGCTGCTCTCATGGCAGAAGAAAAACAATATGGCCGAATCATTAGATGGCCCACACACTTCTGCTCAGAAGTGGCTCATGCTATTTCTACTCATATCTCGATTATAACAAGGCCAACCTTGAAGACATTAGGGTGAGAAGTATAACCTCCTAGGGACAGGCCAGATACGGAGGGCTTAAGAAAAGGAGGGGTAGAGAGTATCAATAATAGCCTACAGCAAGGACTAATAGACCCTGTGTGCACCCGTATGATTGTTACCAGTTATACTATTAAAATATTGAAATACTTTCATGCTAGCTGGTAAATAGCTGCTGTCCCAAGCCTCCTGACAACGCTCATCCCCTGGGACCTACTACTCACAAACTAGCAACTGAGGGGTTAACACCTAGCATGAAAGGATAGCTCCAGGACTTCCTATCTGCTAGATCAGACATCAGCTTTTGAGACGCCCCGCCCTGCGGAGGGGCTCATGAGGCTCTGAAGTAAAACTGAAAATGAAAATAAAACTATCACAGTTTCATTTATAAAATTTTTAAAGGATATTATACACATAATGGTGATTTCATTTGTTTTATGTCTCGCAAAACTTTGAGGGACAGGATTGGCTCTTCCAGGGGTCGGCAAACTTTTGAGACAGAACGTACCCAAAGAGCACAGTTTGCTGACCCCTGGGCTAGATCAATGCTTGAGCACAACTTAAGTATGTTTAAAACCACCCTTGGATAATTTCCTCTATTATGTTTATTTTTATTAGTTTAATTCTGAGAGCAACCTGAATTCCAGGCTCTTGGAAACTGAATTGCTGCCCCTACATGCTGTCCATACTTAATCATAATAATAGTAATAATTTGTGCTGCTTTCTATACATTTTGACACCTCTTGTAAACAGTATATGCAATAAATGCTCAGTAAATATTTGTAGACTTACCTACTTTTTTCCCATTAGCTAAGCTTATCTCTCTACTATCTCAACATACTATTTCTTCTTAAGTTTCCATTTTTAACTTTTTATGCCATTTCTCGTCTGAAAATGCCATTATTACCACTAACTTCTTTGTAACATGTTTGCAATTTACAAAGCACTCTCCCTTAAACTATTTCATTCAATTTCCCCAACATTCCCAGGAGGTAAAAATTAGATCATTTTACAGATGATAAAACTGAGACTCAGTGAAGTCAGGTGTCTTCTACCTAGTTAGGTCTCGTTCATTCATTTATCAAATATTTACTGAGTGCCTAAAAATTTATTAAGGTTGGATTTGAAAACAATTTTCCTGAAATCAAGTCGAGTTTATTCTACTATTTTATCACCAGGGTCATGAATTCAAAGGAAGGAAATAATAAGTCTGTTGATTTTATTGTTGAGGACACAGGTCTCAGACAGGCTCCAAGGTCATTTGTAAAATTTAAGGTAACTACAAGCAGGAGCAATCTTATTTCTCTCTGTGCCTGCTACCTAATGCACTGTCTCACTGTAGATAGCTCCATTCAATACATATTTGATGAATTTATCTACAGGTTTTGGAGCTATTGAAATTGAATTTTGACACTACAGCCTGTAAAACCTTGATCAACTTACTTAGTCCTTTTGAGCTTCAGTTTTATCATCTGTAAAATAAAAATAATACTAATTTCTTAGGACTAAGTAGTTCTGGACATTTAAAAGAGAAAGTATGAAAAAGATGTAATGCTCATTGTAGCTGTGGTTTCCAATTGTCTTTGATGAAGCTTTAAACTGCATTCAAATGAGAAAAACGTCTAGGTGGATGTAAGGTTACATTCTTGGCAAGTGCTGTTCTTTATTCTGGAGCATATCATTTTACAGTTTTGGTGCTAACTCCCCTCTTTTACGGCACTGGTACTTTTCTTCTTTAACAGCACTCTTAATCTGGCAACCCGATGTCATCCTTCATCCCCCAGCTCTCTATCCTCTCAAATTAAAAATGAACACACAGTCACTCAAGATAAACACAGATGATGTTATATTCTTTTCAGCTTCTTGCTGATGATTGTAGATGGAAAAATCGGTGTCTGCAAGCAGACTTTAATAAACCTTCCAGAAGTCTCATTAAAAAAAAAAAAATGAACACACACACAGAAACGATTCCTTACACTTAAAAGTGTGCGCACCACAGCCGAGATCCACAGGGACAGAACGCTCTACGGAGGTCACCAGGCAACGCCTCCAGCGCCCGCCAGAAAAGGGCGGAGTCAGAAGGTTCTTAGATCTCTTTCCGCCTCACCAGGTCGTCGCCCCGTCCCAATTCTCGCGAGACTCAAGCTTCTGCGCATTACAAGTAACTGGGAGTCAAGGCGCCAAGGGAGGGGGAGGGGAAGAGGGGGGACGGTGCAAACGGCGTGGCCGCCATCTTGTTTGTACCCCCGCTTCGCGCGCGCTCCGTTCTCCGTGACGCACGCTTCCCCTCCCCTCCGCGGTGCCCAGGCCTCTGCATTGCCCTACTCCGCAGGAGCGCGGGGGCGGCTCCTGCTCTTCCCTGGACTCCTGAGCAGAGGCATGTAAGTGTACGGGAGCGTCTGTGGGAGGGAGAGTGAGAGGTGAGAGGCAGAGGCGGGGGGAGGGGCAGCGCTTCCCGCCTTCGGCGGAGACTTCACTTCCCTCGCGCGGCCGCTGCTGTAGTTCGGTCCGGCCTGCCCGCCGCCATGTTGTGTTCTCACCAGGCTCGCCGCTGTCGCCGCCGCCGCGCTCGTGGGGTCCGTGCACTTCGTCGGCCCGGCCCGCGGGCTTTCTCCCATTGGCGGAAGGCGACGGCGGGGGGGCTCGCTCGTGATTGGTTGGTGGCGGGGAGGCCGCGGACCTGGCACCTTATTGGTCGCGCTGGCTCCGGCCGAGGGGGTGATGAAGGAATCGGAGGTTGCAGGGATGTGCGCGTCTGGGTTTCGGGCTGCAGGGTGATGACCCTCTATGGCGCAGACGTGGGTTGGAGGCTGGGGGTCAGCCTAAAGGCCTTGAGGAAGAGAGGGTGATGGTCTGGCAGGTACTTTGGGGTATTTTGTGCATGGCCTGGAGTGGGAGGTCCTCCTAATTCCAGAGGTAACCTCCGTGGAACACGCACGGCCCAGGATAGGGACGTAAAAGCCTTAAGGGTGCCGGGCTTGGAAACACGGAAACCGAGTTACAGGCCAAGAGGATCTTCGAGATCCGGGAGCGCAACACTTAACGAGTGTAACACAGTTGGGAAGTGACCCTGATGTTCATGGATACCAGGTCTGAGAGCATGGTATAGGAGGAAAGGGCATCAGGGCCCTAGGGATATATCCGAATGGTAGGTAGGATCAGATCAGGGAAACCCGGGTTTAGGTGGAGCTCTGGAACCCAAAGACCTGAGATGTGATGTGAGGAGGAAGTAAACAGACCCAGCCTGAAGGAGAGAGCCTAATGGATATGTATCCCTGGTTTTAATAACTGAATGCCAAGCCTACAAGGCACAGCATTAAGTAGTGACAGATCTATAGGAGCGAGAAAGTACATTTTCGGGAACATTTTCAGACTTGGGAATTATAGTAACAGAACGATTATAGGTTATTGGGGTCCAGGACCATGCAGCTAGTTTTGAGATGTTCTCTATGAAGATTTCCTGCTGTAGGGAGGGTACAGGTCAGGGCTGAGTTTTCAAAGCTACACTTTCTACCAAATACTGTATTAGATACTTGGGAATTATTTGTTGAATAGATATTGTTGGGTCCTCTTTAGTGGAAGAGAGCTTGACAGAGATCCTGGATGTTGGCTTATGTATTTCCTTTTATATGTACCTAAAAAATACTTACCTTCATATGTATTTTAAGAAATTATAAAAAAAATAAGCAATCCGGAACAAAAATAAACTAGTGCATAGCTTTTTGCATCTTGTCTTAAGTAACAGGAGTTGTCACCACTTTCTGGTTCAGGTTTCAGAATGCTTTTGTTGTAATTGAGAGATGCTAGAGTCAGCTTGTTGGGGGTACATTCTGTTTCCATTGAATGGTAATGACTTGGATTGTTTTACATTTGTGTCTCCCAAGGTTTGAGGATCAGGGAAACATTTGTGTTAAACCCCTGTGTTTTCCTAATTTGTTTTTCCTTGTTTTCACACCAATTTCAAGAAATTTCTGTGGTTTTCACATTTAGTCAGTTTAATGCGAATGCAACTAAATTTTTGAGAGAGAGGAAAGGAATTGACATTTTGGAGCACATTTAATACAACATTCCTGTTAGGTCATTATCATTTACATATTGCAAAAGAGAAAGTTGAGGATCAGAGAGGTTAAGTAGCATGTCCAGTGTCATTCAGTGGTTGAACTGGGATTCAAATCCAAATTGCCTGATGTCAAAGCCTGCAGTTTTATCTGCTACAACATGCTACCAACATAAACTTGACTATTCAAATTCCCGGATAGTTTTATATTTCAAAGTGGATCATCATTCTTTGATTTCTGGGTGTTAGGAGTGTATTGAATAGGAGAATATACTTCATAAGAATTTGTAGTACTGTTTCAAAGATTCAGACCACAGAATGGTAACCATTTGATCGTGGGTTCTTCTACTAGGTATTTAAATCTTACCCTTGGTTTCTATAGTGAAGGGAAAGATTTATAAAGTAAACTGAAGTTTTCCTGAACCCAAGTAGATAATGGGGAAAAACATGTACAGTAAGTTTTGAGAATCTGCATTCTTTAAAACCAGGCTTCAGAATATTGCTGACATAGTCTTTCTATTTATGGAAGTGATTAATGCCCAGGAGTAAGGAACTACCAAGCGCATAGTGAAAAGAGCTCACTGGGGAGCTTTTTCAAACATCGCCAGTTCTTTCGGAAGTTTGTCTCCAAACACTGGGACCTATCCAAAAGCCCAGTGCTTTGTTCAAACTGTGGGATAATGATTCTAGGATATGCTTGTCTTGATTGATATATAAAATTAAAACTGATACAACATTATTGTATAGAAACCTTTAAATAATTCAGGTTTCAAGGGGAGACCAGTGAATTGGAAGTCTGAATTGCTTTGTTTCGTGATACGGTTAGATGAGGGTCTCCTTCCCTTCATTCGCAGTTACATTGCAGCAGGGGAAACAGGGCTTACCATGCATTTTGTATATTGGTCAGCTCAGCTTCATTTGGCTCAGTCATTAAGTTAACCACATAGGAAGAATGTTATGCATCTGTAACTTAAGTTTCTTTTTTAGTAAGGCTGGACAAGGTTACAAAAACATGCATATATTTATGAGTATATCTTTTTTATTCAGCAAGCATTTCTTGACCACCTGCGCTCCACCACCAGTGACCGCCTTCATTCCACCTTAGCTCCTTACACCCACGGCCTCTTGCTAGGCCTTGTTATCATTTGGGATTGGCCACCCTAGAAATCTTGAACTCCCAGGAGGTCTAAGTAGGTCAGAATTTATATTGAAAACTTGTGAACATCAGCTTTGTCTTCTAAGCAGAAATCATATTAGTGCTTTATACTTTACAGACTGTGTCCATGTCATCTTATTTAATCATTATAACAAGCAATTCTATTATCATTTATGCTTACACATTTTCCATTTGGTCACAACTGATTCATTGTACTAGGAAAGATACGAGGTTTCTTATTTCCATTTACAGAGAAATGGAGGCCAAGTGACATGAGGGGCCATGCTAGGTATCTTTCAGGCAATTTTGAAATTCACATCTCATCTTTTAGTTCAGAGGTACTGAGCCACTAAGACACTCAGGAATAATATAGTTACTACCTTTTATTGAGTGCTTACATTGTACCAACTAGGGTATAAGTGTAATACATACATAAGTATGTATAAATAAATATATATACCTCACAGTTTGAGGTAGATGCTATTACCACCTTCAGTTTTACATGTGAGGAAACTGAGGAGTTAAGTAATTTGCTCAAGGTCACACAGCCAGTAAGTGGCCCAGATCCAAACATAGTTCTGTAACTCTTAATTCTGGCACAATTAGTGGAGCCCTTACTCTTTTTTTTTTTTGGAGTTTCTTTGGTCATTTTTATTTTTATTTGTTTTCTTTTTAAATATTTTTTTTATTGTTAGTTTTAGGTGTACAGAAAGAACAATGCAATAGTTAGCCTTTTCACCCTTCACACAGAAACAACCCCCCTCCCCCATCTACTGCCCTCCCACCCCCCGATATCATGCTTATCTATTACAATTCCATTGACTCCTTTCTCACACTCTGCTCCACGTTCCGTGACTATATGTATATATAATTATAGTTGACATACAATGTTATTCAACATCAGCTTCAGAAATACAGTGCGGTGGTCAGGCATCTAAACCGTCTTTGAAGTGGTCTCCCTAACAAGACATGAGTCCATCTGGCCCCCTAAAAAATATTTACAACATTATTGATTATATTCCCCAGACTGTCTTTTCTATCCCTGAGGCCATATTGTAGTTACCAATTTGTATTGTCTCATCCCTTCCCCTTCTCCTTCATCCCCACCCCCTTCCAACTAGCAACTCTCAGTTTTTCCTCTGTGTCTCTGAGACTACTTCTGTTTACATTTCTCATTTATTCAGTTTTTTAGAATCCACGTATAAGTGAAATCATATGGTATTTGTCTTTCTCTGACTGACTTATTTCACTTAGCATAATGTTCTCTAGTTCCATCCATATTGTTGCAAATGGTACTATTTCCTCCTTCTTTATAGCTGAGTAATACTCCATTGTGTAAATGTACCACAGTTTCTTTTTTTTTTTTTTTTTAGCTGAGCCATCCTGTACCACAGTTTCTTAATCCAGTCGTCTACTGATGGGCATTTCGGTTGTTTCCAAGTCTTAGCTATTGTGAATAGCGCCACAATGAACATAGGGGTGCATATATTTTTTCGAATTAATGTCTTGGGTTTTTCTGTATAAATGCCTAAGAGTGGAATTGCTGGGTCAGAAGGTAGTTACATTTTCAGTTTTTTGAGATTCCTCCACACTGATTTCCATAATGGCTGCACCAATCTGCGGTCCCACCAACAGTGCACCAGGGTTCACTTTTCCCCACAACCTGGCCAGCATTTGTTGTTTGTTGATTTATTGATGATAGCCATTCTGACCGGGGTGAGGTGGTATCTCATTGTGGTTTTTATTTGCATTTCCCTAATGCTTAGTGAGGTTGAACATTTTTTCATATGTCTGTTGGCCATCTGTATGTCCTCTTTAGAGAAATGTCTCTTCATTTCCTCTGCCCATTTTTTAATTGGGTTGTTTGTGTTTTTTTGGTGTTGAGTTGCATGAGCATTTTATATATTTTGGATATTAACCCCTTATGAGATATCTTGTTGACAAATATCTTCTCCCATTCAGTAGGCTTCCTTTTTTTATTGATGGTTTCTTTTGTTGTGAAAAACTTTTAAGTTTGATGTAGTCCCATATGTTCATTTTTTCTTTTACTTCCCTTGCCCGTGGGGATGTATCAGTAAAAATATTGCTCAGGGTAATGTCTGCAAATTTAGACCCTATATTCTAGGAGTTTGATGGTTTCAGGTCTTATATTTAAGTCTTTAATCCAT